CTTGTGAGAATGTTTTGCAAGCTAGGCTAGAGTTTTCTTGGTGAGGTTAGAGATGAACTTCTGTTGAGCGACCCAATTCGGGATTTTGATTCCTTGTGCTGTAAAGTTCAACATCAGAATGAATTAAATCTCATCTATTTTTCTATTACTTTTCAAAATATTGTGTGCCAATTTTTATATAAGTTCAGTCACGCTTTTCTTATGTAATTATGTCACGCATTGTTTTGTCATTCAAATTATTTTACAATTGTCTTTTACTGCAATATTGTCATATTGATCTATTGTTGATTTTAGATAACTTGTAATAATAATATTTCTGGAGTCCACATACAGATTTAATTTATTCAGTTATTTAATATTGTGAATCAAAACTTGGATTGGTGAACGAAACATTAGGGATTCTCGACACCTTACCGTTTTAATTATTGAATTTTCTTCATACAAATTCCCTCCTTTCTATTTTATTTGCAACAAAATCTCAAAAACTATTCTGTTTCTTGAATTCACTTTTCTCTAACGCTCTTATTCTGTTAGTCTTTCTTGTTATTTTGTTATCTCCTTGTGGATACGACCGCCCTTCTGTGCTACAATTGACTGCTTGTGAACATCACTTTTGGACGTTAATCAAATTTTGGCGCTGTTACCGGGGAGATGCTACTAATAAGATTGATTAGTAGATTTTGAGCCAAAAAAGTTAGTACATTTTTTTTTTACTTAATTTCTCTTTCTTGATTTGCATGATCTGTTTTGAGCTTGTATTTGTAAAAAAAAAAAAAAAAAAAACTTTTGCCACTTGTGTTTTCATTTGCTGATTTCTTTAGATTAGTTTATTGAGAACGTTTGGTTGGATGATTCAAACCATGTGATTCGAACTATTTTTGATTTACGTAAATTTTTTGTGAGAGAAAATATTGTAGCGAACCACGAATCATGATTCAAATCAGGGAACGAATCCCTCTACCAAACATCCCCTAATTGTTAAGCTTTTACCTTCTTCCTTTCCTTCATTTTCGTTTTAGGTTTTTAAAGTCTGTAGTCCATTAGTTTGTCTTTAATAAAACATATATATATATATATATATATATATATAAAACTTTTGTACGTGAAAAAGAAAAAAAAAAAAAAAAAAAAAGGAAAGTTGGCTGCAGCCTGCAAGTTAACGTGCATTTGTACAAAGTTGCTGCAATTTTTTTTTTTTTTTTTCTCTTTTGTCGTCCATTAATCAAAACCAAAAAAAAAAAAGTCACCATTTTTAGTATTTGGGTACATTTCTGTAGAAAAGTCACCTTGTTGTTTGGCCGTACGTGTCTCATTTTGTGAGTGCAATAGTAGTTTAGTTTGCTGCACCCTTTTTGTTTTTCATTTCCCGTTTTCTTTTTCTAACACAAAACAAAACAAAAAACATCTCACACTTTTAGGACTTGTGTTTTAAAATTGATTATGATTTGATTTTATAATCTTTTATTTTTGATAAATTAAGATTTTATTTTATTTCCTCATTTGTATATTTTAATTGTTGCCTAATTTAATTTTTCCTTTTATAGTTTCATTAATTTTTAGGATTATAATTAAGATGGTAATTAATTGACTAATTTAGATTCCTAATCTAGGATTTTCATAATTTGATAGATTTAGGTTTTTGACTTTAGGAACAGTTTCCATTAATTAGATTACATTTCATAATTTACTCAATAAAATTTAATAATTGATTTTAAGGATAATTGTGTGGTTACGTGAAAAGTACAATCTGAGGGAGTTCTGTCTAGGAAAGTTGGTACTTAAGCGGGCCTCGCCTCACCAATCTTTCCTGGGAACGTTGCTCTGTCTAGGAGACTATTCATTGAGCCAAGAGCTATAGTATTTCCTGGGAGCACTCTCGGTGGTTACAATTTACGTTGCTATATAATTATTTTCTTTTGTTTTGATTAGAAATTAAAAAAAAAACAAAAAAAATATATTTTAAAGGGCCGCTTAGGGTGAATGCATCGGTATAGAGACGAACTAGGGAGATTTGCTCAACGTCCAGATTTAGAAACCCCTAGTGAATTTCTATCCGACTTGTCTTCTACGTCTCCGTCTTCGCACTCGTCGTTGGAATTCGTATTTCAAAATCTATTCGCAATGGCACAACATGAGGAAGTTCAGTAGAGGACGTTGTAAGATTACTTGCACCCAACGCGCATGGCCACCCCATCTTGCATCATGTTCCCGCCAAATGTACCACCTACGGATTTCAAGCCGGGCATGATTGCACTTCTCCCAACCTTTCATGGATTAGAGAATGATAATCCATATGTACACATTCGGGAGTTTGAAGAGGTGGTGGCCACCTTTCACAGCCGTACTGAGGCCGCAAACACTATCAGATTGAAGTTTTTCCCTTTCTTTCTGAAGGACAAGGCCAAAAGCTGGCTGTATTCTCTTAGGCCCAGTTTATTGGTACGTGGGAAGAAATGACGACGACATTCTTCAACAAGTATTTCCCACACCATAAGACTAATAATTTGAAACGACAGATCTCGAATTTCGCTCATAAGGAAAATGAAACTCTCTATCAAGCTTGGGAGCGTTTTAAAGATCTGTTAAATCTGTGTCCCTACCATGGATATGAAAGTTGGTGCCTGGTAAGCTATTTCTACGATGGACTCACAATCCGAGAGTGCCAATTTGTTGACATGATGTGCAATGGGGATTTTCCCTAAAAGGATCCTGACGAAGCTATCGAGTACCTGAACGAGTTAGCTGAGAAAGCTCATACTTAGACTGGACCGAGTGCTACTGAGAGCACCAGTAGGTCCCGAGCAGTTGGAGTTTATCAATTAAGGGAAGAGGATAGTCTCAAGGCCCAAGTTGAAGCTTTGACGAAGCAAATCGAGGTCCTCAAAAGTAAAGATAGTAAAGGACCCCACATGGTAGCAAGGATAGAGGCACTTGAGCCATGTTTCGTTTGTGGTGGAATGGGCCATCTGGCTCAAGATTGTCTCACTTTTGGTGAAATGAGAAGGGTATACGAGGAGCAGTGCAATGTATTGGGTGTTGGAAAATTAATGGCATCGAGTGCGCAGCGGAATTTAAAAATTTTAATCAACGTCAAAGCCAAACAAGAACATGTTCATGATGCTATATAACATAAATACTAAAGATCTAAAACATACCTTTTTGAGATTTCAGGAAACTGCACGTCTGACAGATCTAAGCGTTCCAAACAGTAACCGGAAGAGCCTCAACCAACTGGTCTTCTTTGCTATTCTCGTTTCCACAATCGATGTGCGGGTGGGCACATGCCGTTTAATCTCCTCTAGATATTCTTGATCTCCTTCCAATCACAAGAGAGCCAAAGAAAAAATTGTTCTTGAGAATTAAACAATTTTTCCTCTCAGGAATCTTTTATCAATAGCCTCTAAAAAATCTCTCAAGTGATCTAATGAGTAATGTGACTTAATAGGCTATTTATAGTGTTTTGGAAGTCATACTTCCGTAACAATTAGGTTTCCCAAAGTTCTAATCGCATCCAGAGTCGATTTTCCCACGTCAGCATGCATTTTACGTTACAACCGGTCGACCGGTGACAGAGACGTTATAACTCACCGGTTGACCTGTCTTCACTAACCGGTCGACCGGACCGGTCGACCTGTGACCGGTCTACCCAACCGGTCGACCTGTCTGCACTGACGAAAGTTGTTTTGCCTAGTTTTTCAATACGGGAAACTTGCATAGAGCCTCAGTTTTGATTCAAGCACCAATAGAGAAATTGCTTGATCAAAACAGTCATCTAATAGTCTTCCCATATTAAACAACTCTTAAAACAATAATTCAACTAATTTATCTAGAATTAATTTATCAATTAATTCACCCATGAATTAACTTTGAACCTCTCGTTACGGAAATAACACAAGTTACCAATGTGTAGGAAATACACCATATCGTTACAGAAAATTATGTGAGCTAGCAAAGGGACCCGATGGACATATATAAATCAAGCTCCTATAATCACAAAGCTACTTGTAAACCAACAAGTCCATCTCATGATTATAAAACTCTAG